AACAGTTGTTATATGATACAAAAAGTTTTAAAATGAACAGTCCTATTAAAATTAAAATCAGCACTAATCTAAAAAGTTTATGATACAGGGGACAATTGGAAGTATAAACTGTGATTAACCTGTTATAATCCTGTGATTGTGCTAATGGTTTTCACACGACGTCATGTTCAAAGTGATATTATCCTGTGCATAACCAGGCAAGAAACAGCAGCAAATTATTCATGGGATTTTCAATTATTTTTCCCATGAATTACTTTTTTGCTGTTTATTGCCTGGTTATTCCCTGGTTATTCACTCTTGTGTTAATCTCATTTTAATTGTGTTTTAATGTCAATTGTGTGATATTCTCTGGTTAATCACTGTTTAAAGTCCCAGTTTTCCCCATGTGATAAATTCCTAAGAAAGTGTAAAAACAATTACAGCATAACAGTGAGAATAAAAATACAGCACAGTCTAATTGAAAGGTCTTTCTGCAGCAACCAGTTAATAACTGAAGCTCTGTCTAAACAGGAAAGTATTTGCCTGCTGATGGATGGATAGTGGCATGGGGGGAGCTTAGCTTTCCACAAAAGAAAATTCCACAACCTGGGAACAGTTACCAAGAAGGCTCTCTGCTGTGCCTCTACCAAATGTGCCACTTTGAATTGTGCCTGGAAACTGACCAGGATCCAATGAAGTTGCACAGAGGACTTATATCAAATTCCTCATAACCAATCCCAATTAACAGTTTGGTCATAGTTTTTCAATAGTTTCCAAAGGCAACCCCATGTAAAGTGTGTTACAGTCATCTAAACAGGATGTAATGAAGGCATGTGTCACCATTTGTTGTTAATAGCCCTCGAGTTGATCTCAACTCATGGAATCTTATGAATGAGATGTCTCCAAGACCTTCTGTCCTCCACTGCTCTGCTTAATTCCTGCAACCCCTTCTTACCCGGGACCTCCTTAATAGAGTCCATCAATCTGGCATGTGGGCTTCTCTCTTCCTACTTCCCTCCACCTTTCCCACCATTATTATCTTTTCCAGTGACTCCTCTCTTCTCATGATGTGTCTGAAGTAAGACAGCCTAAGTTTGGTCATCTTGGCTTCCAGGGAGGTTTCCGGCTTGATCTGCTCTAGGACCCATTTGTTTGTCCTTTTGGCTGTCCATGGGATCCTCAGCACTCTTTTCCAGCACCACATTATCTCAAAGGAATTGATTTTCTTTCTATCATCTTTCTTAATTGTCCAACTCTCACATCCATACATGGTAATATGGAATATAATGGCTTATATGATTCTACCTTTTGTGTTGAGTTGTCTGTCTTTGCATTTTAGAATCTTTTCTAGTTCTTTCATAGCCACCCTCCCCATTTTTAGTCTTCTTCTTATTTCCTGACTGCAGTCCCCATTTCTATCAATGTTTGATCCCAGGTATTGGAATTCTTTTACTATTTCTATTTCTTCATTGTCTAGATTGCAATTGTGAAGGTTCTCGGTGGTCATTATTTTTGTTTTCTTTATTTCAACATTAAGCCTGCCTTTGCACTTTCCTCTTTGATCTTCCTTAATAGGTATTTCAGGTCTATGAGGTTTTCTGCTAGTATTATGGTGTCATCTGCATATCTCTTAGGTTATTGATATTCCTTCTTCCTGTTTTCACTTCTCCTCCTTCTGTGTCCAGGCCTGCTTTTCTTATAATATGTTCTACATACGTTGAATAGATAGGGTGAAAGGATGCAGCTTTGTTTGACTCTTTTGCCAATTGTTCTGCCAATTGTTCTGTTCTGACAGTATCCTCTTGTCTTGAGTACAGATTCCTCATCAGGACTATCAGACGTGTTGGTACTCCCATGTTTTTAAGGGCATTCCATAGCCTTTCATGATCTATGCAATCAAAGGCTTTGCTATAGTCTATAAAGCATTTTCATTTGGAATTCCCTGGTTCTCTCTATTATCCATTGTATATTTGCCTCTTCGTTTCTTGAACCCCGCTTTAACCTCTGGGATTTCTCTCTCCATGTGGAGTCTATGTTGCAGAATTTTTAGCATGATTTTGTTTACATGGGAGATCAGTGCTATGGTCCTATAGTTGTTGCAGTCTCTTGTGTCTCCCTTTTTGTGGATGGGGATGTATATTGATTGATGTGTCACTATAGCCTGATCTAATATCTCTAGAACAGGCACCAATAACACACTAATTTTAACTATGCAAATTCACAGCTGAAACTTGGACATTCAGGGTCCATGCCTGAATTCAGGAGTAAGCTGCAAACCTAAGATTTCAGGGGTAGCGTACAACCATCTAGTATGACCTGAATCCCTGTTTCCTGGACTGCTGGGCAGCTCCAGTCAATTAGAGAAAACTGAATACATTTCAGACATGCCCAGAAAAAAAAAGCAATACATTTCAGAAGCATATGCATAGAAATGTGTGTCAATTTTGGTGCAAGAAGAAAATCTCTCATAGGCTAAGAACCTTGAACTGAAAACCTCAATGAGTTCATGAATTATTTATTTCCCCACCAATATTACCTATACACCCATTGTCTTTCATAATATGGGAGATGTGTGCACTTGGGAAAATAAAATTTTGGAGTACATCTCCCACAGACTGCCTAGAATGGACATTCAGTCACACAATATGATTCTTATTTCCTGTTATAATACCCTATGCCTGCACCTAGCCTGGAAACTTCACTCAATGGCTGTGGTGCTTGCAAGGATCATATATCTGTAATATTCATGGTTGTTAGGTGAAGTATCTTGGCTAGAGTCTGCATCTCATACTTGAACATGATCCAAAAGTCAGAAAAACTTTTTTTTAAAAAAATCCTCTGGATTCATCTTTCACTTCATTACTTTTGTGCTTGAGAGATCTGAAACAGGAATGAAGCAAAAAAAGGGGGGATGTACAACAATGTGGGCATATCCCAAATTATACTGGAAATATACAGGTTATCATGGAAACAAAAAGCTATGCAAAGTCATGTATGTGTGCAAATATACATTCATGCTGCAATTTTTTATAAGTTTTAAATATTATCTCAGCAACTTTACAAAGCTCAATGCCTACTCAGATGTAAGCCTCAGTGCAACAGCTCTCAGGCATACAAAGCATAATTCAATGAAGTGGCCTTCAGATGTATAGCCCAACACTGGAAAATCCCATTCTTATATCTGATCAGTGGTTGGAGATGAAAGGTATTTAATGTTAAGAATTCTTGCTCTTTAAACACCTCTTTGTCTCTGTTCTCTTACTTTTTTTTACTGTATTCTCTTTCTTTCCTAAGGTACCATAGGTTTTTCATGGCAAGATTTATTCAGAGGGGGTTTGCCATTGCCATTCTGTGAAGATGAGAAAATAGGACTTGCCCAAGGTCACCCAGTGGATTTACATGACCGAGTCAAGATTTGAACTCCGGTCTCCAGAGTCATAGTCCAAGACTTAAAGCACTAAACCACGATGGCTCCCAGTTTTAGGTAAAGTTATGGTGCTAGTACAGAGCCAATGTGGTGTAGTGGTTTGAGCATAGGACTTGGGCTCTGGAGATCCCCACTTGGCCATGGAAACCCACTGGATGACCTTGGGCAAGTCACACACTCTCATCTCCAGAAGACTCTATGATAGATTTGCCTTAGGGTCACCATAAATCAGAAATGACTTGAAAGCACCCAACAACAAAATGGCTATAGCTACTTATAGATGCAGTCATGTAGTGCTGAAATAGAAGTCTGTTTCAAAATAAATACTTTTCCATGTCAGAATTTGATAACTGTAGGCCCTTATCTTTCCAAGACTAGGTTCCTGGAAGTACAGTCCCAGGAAGCACCTGGGAGTATACCTAATTAAAATTAAAGAGAATTACTCTAACTGCACCATAAGACCATTGTCATACTTAGTTTTCTGATTTGGCATCCCTCAATAATTTGAAACTTTTTAGTATAAATATACTAAACTGTGTGTGTGTGTGTGTGTGTGTGTGTGTGTGTTTAGTATAAACAGTTTCAATGTTGTTTATTAATATATTATTTGCTTTGGAGAACTGGCCTAATAAAAATCTGTATAGAATTTTTTCAAATATACAAGACATAGTTCTCCATTATTCTGTAAGGGCTGTTTTTGGGGTGCACTATCATATGAAACAGGCTGCAGACTGGTTTAGTTGCACACCCTTTTACCCAGATGCTTGCAAAGAGCTCACACAACTGATTGTGCAACCACTTGTACAACCTCTTTGGCAACTGCTATGCACATCTGCTTCTGCAAAGGAGTAATCCAGCGCAAAGGAACAATCAGGGATTTTGATTCCATTAGTAATAAATTGGATTTGGGTCATAACGTTATTTATTACTTTAGTTATCCTTTTCAGTTTATGGCTGGATTGGTTAAACTATGGCAAAAGACAATCTTGTTTTGCTAATTCTGAGAAGCCTGTAGGGATACCATTTTTCATCAGAAAGGGGGAAAGTGAGGGAGATGCACCCTACAGGTATTCAGAGGCACTTCGCTGACTACAAGCTTTCAGACAATATGAATGTAACTAGTGATTAGTTAGATATGATCCCTGAAATATGGTGGTGATGACGGTGATTTTTACAGGAGATGGAGCATTTTGTGTCCAGGAAGGATGTGAAGACACAGGTATACAGGGTGTGCCAAAAGTCATGCCCCATAGGCAATTTAGATGATGTAATGGAAGCCATCATATTAGAATTTTTCAGCATCAGAGAAAATGTTACTTTACTTACGAATGTTCAAAGGTCTTCACGTATCATCTAAGAAAGCATTTAGAAGAAAATGGTAGCCAATTCAAACGCAATTTAATTTATATAATAAATACTGGGATGATTTTATAAGAAGCACAAGTATACAGACCTTATGTACATGTATATACATATCTTGTTTGTTGTGTGCCTTCAAGGCTTTCCAGTTTCTGACAACCCTAAGGTGAAGCTTTCAAAGGGTTTTCTGAGGACAGAGTGTGTGACTTACTCAAGGTCACCCAGTGGGTTTCCATGGCAGAGCGGGGATTTGAACCCTTGTCTCCAGAGTCCAGAGTTGTAATCCAATGTTTGAACCATTACACCATGCTGGCTGCAAAAGCAGATATACTATGTGCACAAATAACATAGAACATGCATTCACCTTCACGGCTGTCCAACCAATTCCAACATTCATCAGTTGCTAGAAATTCAAATGATGGTAAAAGCTTTCACATTTAGTAGACGTCTTCACTAGATAACCTACACATGCTTTTATATTGCTAATTTTGGTATCAGGGGCTGTATCCACACTGCAGAAACAATCAATTTTGACACCGTTTTAACTGCTGTGGCTAAATGCTATGGAATTCTGGAATTTGTAGTTTGTTGTGGTACCAGAGCTCTCTGACAGGGAAGCCTAAATGTCTTAAAAACTACAAATTCCAGAATTCCATAGCATTTAGCCATAGCAGTTAAAACAGTGTCAAATGTGGATTATTTTTGCAATGCAGCCAGAGTGTCATGGATGTGGCAGGCTCATCTTTTAATAAGTTTGAACACTTAATATTATATGGTGGCTGCCTTATACACCTATAGTGTGGCTCTTGTGGTCTCTAACAGCCTGAAGAGACATTCTGTTTTGAGAAACAGTGCAGCAAATATCTTTTTTTTTTAAACTAATTTATAGAACATAGATTATGAAAACAATTTTTGCTAATCATAAAATAGTCATCAGTTTTACTATGATCGTTTGGACTGCAATTCTCAGTTTGGTGAACTTTAGTGTATAAAAGATGTGATTGTTGTTGGTTTGTTTTATAACTATTAGAGACTCCAGTTAATTTACAAAGGCATTTTGAATTATTTATATCTATTTAAACATAAAATATGGTTTGTTTTGTTATAGTCAGTGACCATCTGAATTACATACAATTTGCATTACGAGTATTCTTTATATCATTTTATTTGGGCTATGCTCCTAAACTGGGTCCCTTAAATTAGGCTTGAAGTTTCACTGTAAATGTAACTTTGCTTGTAAATTCATGCTGGTTTTTTGTTGTCACTGAAATAAGCAAGCCATTTTTGGTTGTTTCTTGCTACAAAAGTCTGATTTTTGAACTTAAGATTCTCATTTTGTTTATTCTTTCCAAGTCCCATACCTATAAGGGAAACATGATGATGAGAAACTCAACAGATTAATCTTTTCTTCTTAGTGCATCACCATGCTCAGGACGATGCCACCATCAATACAGAAATATATGAGTGCTAGGCACCCAAAACTCTCCCTCTGACCCTCTCTTTTTCTGTCCCCCCCCCATCCCATCTCTAGGTGTGGAAAATTCCTTGATAGCCAATGACATGACTTTTGAAACCATTAAGGCCCCTTGGAGTCCAGAAAATGAGATCCACCGGATGAAAATGGTGAAAAAAGTACTGGATACTGAGGACAAAGCAGCTTTCCGCCTCCATGATAAGATGCCAAGATACATATATTTTGCAGCAAAGGACGCTAACAAATGGGGACATAAACGTGGCTATCGGATCCAGTTAATCAGCTTTGCTGGGGATCACCTACCAGAGACAGATGCAATGGAGAGATCTATTAGTTGGGGCAGGTAAGTGACTTATTTCCTGAAACTTAAGCCAAGTTGGATGTGTGGACTAATGGCTTCTTTTAAACTTGTGGGTGTTGATGAGTCTTTAAATGCTTTTTAATACATTTGTTTTGGCAGCACATGCCCATCACTTCAGGTTTCAGCTTGAATGTATCAGTTCGCTATGATGGGTAAAGTAGGGATGTGAAAAACATATGTTTCGATTTCATGGTATTTTTCTGAACTCCAGCTACGTTTTCATTTCATCTTTTGTTTGGACGAGGCCATGAAACTCTATTTACAGTCCTGCATCAAAATGTCAACACATTTTTCGATTGTATTTTAGCAGTTTGGATACACATATTTCTCACTGGCCAAAAGGTGTTGGTGTGTGCTTGCCACTATACATCTTTTTTAGTCATTCACACTTTAAAACATCCATCCATGCTTTTATTTCTCCAAAATGCACCACAAGGTTTTTAAACATGTGACATACTGAGATAAGATCCACTTGGTTTTTTTTTCACAAAATGCTTCATGAAGTGTAAAATCTAGGGTGAATTC